GGTCCTTATAGAAAGAAGTACCACCTCCTGATGGCTTCCCTTCTCTGAACCAGGCTATGGTTTAGCCCACCAGGCGGTCTCTCACAGTGGTCTGCAAGAGCAGATGCTAAACATGAGATTTTAATTTTGCAGATGTGGAGTGTGATGTGGCTTGATCAAAGTGCTTTGCAAATGCTTATTGTGATTATTACTGTTGTGCTCTTCTTGCTAATAAGCTAATTTCTACCCTGAAATTATAATCATCCAAAGACAGATTAAAACAAGATGTGAGTGAGTTGCCCAAGCTGTTTGCTTTACAGATGGCCACCATCAGAAAACTCTGAAGTTGCCAGGGTTAATTGAAGCTTCAGTTTCTGCTTCAGAGTGTGGTGGATACTTAAGTGTTTCTACCTGTCAGCTTTCAGCATGCTGAAAAGTACCAAGAAGAACTCTTTACTTTACACTCATTAATGCCAGGATCTCCTAGGAGCTCAAAGTGCTTGGTGCAGATTGATACAAATGATGATAACTTTTTTGCAGGAAGGTTGCAAGAGGTCAAAGACTGCATCACTAATCTACTTTAAGGTACGCCAAGGAACCAGGAAACATTGAAATAGAAGTTCATATTTAAATGAGGAATAGAATTCTCATGTATGATTAAACAGCAGGTCCTTTTCCTAAAGTTTCAGCGAGGGAATCCTTTGGGACGCTTAGAGATAGCATTTGTAGAGTCAAGTAAGCAGAAGCAGCGAAATATTATCTACAATTAAGGAAGCTAAACTCTGACCAGTCTTGGTTCTGGAGAACAGATGATGAGAAAGGCTATCTTCCTCAGGATATAAGTAGGGGACTGCAGGAACTGGATGTTGTATATAGGGACAGCTAGGTGTTGAAGTAGATAGAGCACCAGGCCTGGGGTCAGGAAGACCTGAGTTAAAATCTAGCCTTAGACACATACTAGCTGTGTGTCCCTAGACAAGTCACTTAACCTTGTTTACCTCAGTTTCCACATCAGTAAAATGAACTGGAGAAGGAAATGGCAAACCACTCCAGTATCTCTGCCAAGAAAACCCCAAATGTGGTCAGAAAGAACCAGAAGTGACTGAAATAACTACACAGCAATAACAACAACAAAAATAGCTGTGTTTGGTTAACTTTTTCTTTGTTACCTGGGAAGGTTTCAGTGCTAGTTGGGACAGGGAGCAGGGATACATTCAGAAATGACTATGATGTGGAGACAAAACACACCAATAAAACTTATTTAAAAACCAACTAATCCTGCTAGAGCATTGTCATGTTGGTTATTTCAGACTCACAAAACCAGCAGTCCAGTTTATGTAATATCTGCTTTTCTCTGTTGCCCACCTCACATATATATAGGAGCTCAGGAGGCAAAGTTAGTATTAAGGTTAAAAAAAAACACAAGGAAAATGAAAGCCCTTGTCTTGTCTCTCAAGCCCTACCGCAGCCATGTTAAAGTAGTAAGCCTGTGAATGAACGAGAGTGTTGATACTTCTATGTGGCCCAGATGAAGAGAGAGACCTTTGGTCTTTGCTCATATCTTATGATTTGGTTCCTGGAAACAATCTTCAGGGAAACAGAGTGTCTGTGGTTTGTGTGGTTCACCAGAGGGAAGGCTCTTTTTTACTTTTTGCAGGCTTGTAACCCATGGGACAGATGCCTTTTGCACTGTGGTTGAATAGCTGAAATGAGAATAATAGAGTTAGGAAGGAGAAGGCAGGGAAAGCCTCCTGGGCCCTTTTAAATTGAGCCTAGCTGTTGCATTACTCAAGGTTCATGTGGGCTTTTGCTTTAAACAAAGATATGTAAAAATATAGTTTACGTGAAAGATTAAACTTGGGAATGATACTTCACTTTACAGAAGGATACTTCATGTTACAGGAGACTATCAAGTGGTATTCTTTTAAAGATCAGATTTCCCTGAAGTATTTTAAACATCTGTCTGAAAAAATTAAATTTTTACCTTTTTTGGAAATATATCTGTTATGAAAAGTGGGATGCTTTTTCTCTAGGTAAGGCCACAGGGTGGTTCACTAAGTTTTGCTGTAGAAGAAATAGGTACATCACCCAAAAACTCCTGCCCTCTTCTCCTTACATTTCTCCATGCCACTGGAAAAATCAGTGGCGGTAATGGGCACGTATCAGGGAAGCAGGTAAATTGAAAATGGTAATACGTTACACTGTTTGGTGTAGGCCACACCCTTTTTTTTGGGTGAGGGGAGGCAAATTGAGGTTAAGTGACTTGCCCAGGGTCACACAGCAAGTAAATATCTGAGGCTGGATTTAAACTCAGGTCCTCCTGACTGTGGGTCTGGTACTATATCTACTGAACCACCTAACTGTCCCCACATACTGTCTTTTAATTTAATTTAATATTTTATTTTCCTCCAATTACATGTAAAAACAATTTTGACATCCTTTTTTTAAAAAATTTTGAATTCCAAATTATCTCCTTTCTTCCTTCCCCTCTCCCCCACCTTGAGAAGGCAAGCAATTTGATGTAGGTTATATGTGTGTAGTCATGCAAAACATGTTTCCCTGTAAGTCATGTTGTAAAGGAAAACACACACACACCAAAAAAAACAAAAACATAAAAACCCCCTACACACACAATAAAGAAAAAGTATGCTTCAGTCTTCATTCAGATGCCCATCAGTTCTTTCTCTGGAGATAATGGTGTTTTTCATCTTAAGTCCTTCAGAATTGTCTTGGGTCACTATATTGTTGAGAATGGCTGTTATTCACAGTTGTTCATCATACAATATTGCTGTTACTGTATACTGTATTTAATGTTCTCCTGGTTCTGCTCATTTCACTTTGCATCAGTTCATGTAAGTCTTTCCAAGTTTTCTGAAAGCATACTGCTCGTCATTTCTTATGGCATCATAAATAGTATTCCATTATAATCATATTCAACAACGTGTCCAGCCATTCCTCAATTGATGAACATTCCCTCAATCTCCAATTCTTTTCCTCCGGAAAAGAGCTGCTATAAATATTTTTGTGCATATATGTCCTTTTCCTTTGTGTTTTTTAACTCTTTGAAATATAGACTTAGTAGTGGTATTGCTGGGTCAGAGTCTATGCATGGTTTTGTAGCCCTTTGGGCATAGTTCTAAATTGTTTTACAGAATGGTTGAATGATTATACTTCACTGACAGTGCTTTAGTGTCTTAATTCTCCTACATCCCCTCCAACATTTGTCATTTTCCTTTTCTGTCATATTAGCTTATCTGATAGGTGTGGGGTTGGTAGCTTAGAGTTATTTTAATTTACATTTCTCTAATCAATAGTGATTTAGAGCATTTTTGTATGACTATTGATAGCTTTGATTACTTCATCTGAAAACTTCCTGTTCATATGCTTTGACCATTTATAAATTGAAGAATGGCTCTTATTTCTATAAATTTGACTCAGTTCTCTACATATTTGAGAAATGAGGTCTTTGTCAGAGAAATTTACTGTAAAAATTTTTTTTCACAGTTATGATTACTATGTATTTCCCTCTATTCTGTTTCCCCTCTGTTTATCCTACTCTTTCTCCCCTTTTACCCTGTCCATTCTCAAAAGTGTTTTGCTTCTGCCTTTTACCCTAATTTGCCCTCCCTTCTATCAGTCTTCCCCACTGCCCCCTTCTCTTATGCCCTTCCCCTCCTACTTTTCTGTATCATGAGATAGATTTCTACACCCAGCTGAGTGTGTTTGTTATTCCCTCTTTGAGCCAATTCAAATGAGAGTAAGATTCACATCCTCTCCCTCTACTTCCCCCATCTTTTCCTCCACTGTAAAAACTCTTCCCAGACTTTTTTATGTTAGATAATTTATCCCATTCTATCTCTCCCTTTCCCCATCTATACTCTTTCTGCCTGCCCTAATAATGAGAAAGTTTTTAGAAGTTACAAGTATCATTTTCCCATGTAAGAATGTAAATAGTTTAACCTTATTGGATAGCTTATGGTTTCTCTTTCCTTTTTCATGCTTCTCTTGAGTCTTGTATTTGAAAGTCAGATTTTTTTATTCAGCCGTGATCTTTTCATCAGGATTGCTTGAAAGTCCTCTATTTCATTGAATGTTCATTTTTCCCTCTGTCAGTAGATGATTCTTGGTTGTAATCCTAGCTCTTTTGCCCTCTGGAATATTACATATTCCAAACCCTCTGATTCTTTAATGTAGAAACTGCTAAATCTTGTATTATCCTGACTGTGGCTTCATGATATTTGAATTGTTTCTTTTTGGCTGCTTGCAGTATTTTCTGCTTGACCTGGGAGCTCTGAAATTTAGCTATAATATTCCTGGGAGTTTTCATTTTGGGATCTCTTTCAGGAAGTGATTGGTGGATTCTTTCAATCTCTATCATACCTTCTGGTTCTAGGATATCAGGACAGTTTTCCTTGATAATTTCTTGAAAGATAATGTCTAGCTTTTTTTTTTTTGGTGGGTTTTGCTGCTTCAGAATTTGTTTTGGGGTGTTATTAAAAATGTTACCAAAAACAACAGAATATTAGAGCTGAAAGGAATCTTGGAAATCAAGTTGCTTGGAAGGGTTTTGGAGAGATGGGAGAGCCTTTTCTCCACTATCTTGGCTCTGCCCCATATTGTTCCCTCTTTAACCCATTTCTAATCCACGCTGTCTTTTATAGGATTGTCCTCACTCTTGTGTATTCTCAAACAGGTAAGCAGCCAGGGGGCAAGCTAGTTAATCCCTCTGCATATGAAATATGCAATATATTCTATGTATTACAATAGAATCTTAATCAATTTTATTGATAATGATTCTGTTAGTATTGCTGATACCTGTAGAAGGTGAGAGTCATAGCAGATTTGGGTTCCTTGGTGATGTGTTTGAGGCACACTTATCACCAGCCCTGGGTCACTAGTAATGAGATCTTGTTGAGGGAAGTGATGTGGGAGTGATGTTCTTTCTATTTTATTTTGACCTTGGCAGGACTCTTAAGGAGACGGCCACTTTAAGATGGTAAAATGAGGCTGTTCACTTGCAGGTAAGGAGCAGTAATGCTGCCAGAATGCACGGAATGTAACTTGAAGCAAATGTGGCTGACCTCTTGATTGCTGGAAGACAACATAGGTGTTTTGCAACAGGACAGTGTGCAGCAAGCAGAGATGTGGTAGGTCAGTCTGAGCCAAGCCATTTGCAACCTACCAAGCAGAGAAACAGAAACACAAACAACTTAAAACACTGTGTGGGGCATCCTGAACTTCTTTGTCCCAAGATTTCTGAGTCCCTAGATGTCTCTTCTCACTCTTCTGTGACTTTGTGCAAGCTAAAACTCAATGCTGGCAATTAAAAGGTAGCTGCCTACACTTTTGGCTTCCTTCCTTCCTTAGCTTGCCCCTAACTGAGGCTTATTTTCTATCCCTCTAATGACCATTACTGTCTAACCCCAGTTTATACAGATGAATATGTTCCTGAAAAACATGAAACAAGAGACTTTGTCTGCCAGAGAATTGGGAGAGAAAGACCTGCAAACAAGATTAAAGTTTGTTGTGTCATAAAAAGTATGCTGCCCTAACTACTAATTTTAATAAAACCTTTATTCACAAATTAGAGAATGCTAGGATGTTGAGCCAGTTGTATGGGTGGGACAGGGGTCTAGGGTTAGGGTGGGAGAATGCCACAGATATACTTTACCTACCGAAATTTAACCTGCTGGTTGTTCTGCCTACCATGAGTGTCTCCCTACTCCAGTCCATCTGTCACTTAGCTGCCAGAGTGATCTTCCCAAAGTGCCGGTCTGACCATGTCATCCTTCCCTGTCCCACTCAATAAACTCCAGTGTCTCCCTTTCACTTCCAGAATCAAATATGAAATCCTCTGGCATTCACAGCCCTTTCTAATCACCCCTCCCCCAATATCGTCTTCTTACACCTAACACCCTTCCACATACTCTGCCATCCAGGGACACTGGCCTCTTGGCTGTTCCTCACACAAGACACTCCATTTTCCCTGGTGGTTCTTCATGCCTAGAATTCTCTTCTTCATCGTCTCTACTTCTTAGCTTTCTTCAGTTCCCAGCTAAAATCCTCCCTTGTACTGGACGCCCTTCCCATTCCCCCTTAATATCAGTGTCTTCCCTTTGCAATTATCTTTAATTTATTCTGTATGTATTTTATTAGTACATAGTTGTTTGTATTATGTCTTCCCCGTTAGACTCTTAGCTCCTTGAGATCAGGGACTGTCATTTGCCTTTCTTTGTATCTCCAGCACTTTGTACAATACCCGGCACACAGTAGGCACTTAATAAATGTTTATTGACTGACTTTGCTGTCCCCACCCCACCCCCGCCCCAGATCAGATGGGAAATTATTTTCCTCCTTTGGAAAATGGGGCTCAAGGGAGCACAGGCCATGTAAAATGGATGTTCACAAGTCAGAAGATGTGAGTTCAAATCTAGTCTCTGCCACTTACTAGCCATGTGACCTTGAACAAATCATTTAACTTCTCTGAATCTTACTTTTCTTAACTGTAAAATGAAGGTGGTTGGTCTAGGTGATTTCCAAGATTCCTCTCCGCTCCAATATTCTTCTGTTTTTGGTAATACGATTTTAATCTATTTCCATGCCTTACTCACTGCTCATTTCACTGGAGGGCAATGGTCAGAGAGTCAACCTAAAAAATATTAGGCATCTCTTGGTAGCCTGTGTGGAAGCCCCTTTATGGGGAAATTCACACGAAAATATCAGCTGTTTACTTTATATTTCTGAGCTGTCAGTCAGTAATTTTTGATTGCTTTCTGCTGACAAAAATGCTGTGCCCTGGGCATCACTGCTTCCAAACAGCTTACTGCCTAGTTGAAGAAAGGACCTAAACCATACCCATAAAAAGATAATTTAACAATAGGGGGAAGCATGTGGTGGGTGCCAAATTAATGTTACAGGCCACAAATGCTAGAACTACAAGTATTTGCATGGATCAAATAGAAAAAGGTTTCTTTCAACCTGGGGATTGGTTAAGATTTTTTCCTCTCCTAAATTTAAGGGGCTGGGGCAGGGAGAGGAATAGTCCAGCGAGGAAGTGACTCCTTTGGACATGTTCTTGAAGTACACAATGGCTAGACTGGTTCTGGCTCCTTCTTTCCCTAGTTCTCTGCTGTAAAGGATGTAGGTCAATTATAGTGGGAAAGATGACATAATAATAAGAGAGAAAGTACGTGCATATATTCCCTCTGTGTTGCTGTTTGTCTCTGTCTCCCTCCCCTTTCCCTACCTCTGCCTCTCCCCATATATATGAGTATGTGTATACCTGAGGGCATATGGCTGATTTAAGGATTGAAATTTCCCTTTAATTTGTCCATCCTGGATTGAAAGGGTTTGCCTCTGTGCACGTACTGAAGCGATTTGCCTCTCTAGGTGTATTCTGTTTGTCCTATTCAGCATGCAGGAGGTTTTAGAATACATTTTGATATAGAGAGCCCTTAAAAATAATTGTGCAGATAGAGTTTTGGCCATCATATGTGAGCTGTGAAAGGAGAGAAAGAACAAAGATACATCAGGGTAAAGGTAGAAATAGGTGGAGCTTTCCATTCCCTTTCCTTCCTAAGAAGAGCTTGCATTAAGTAGAATAAGAAAAACCAAAAGCAGAATCATCTTCATCAGCTACTGAATGTTTCATTTCTTCTTATTATTAGTCACATTTGAATAGAGAATAGAGAACATTTTTTTAGTAACCTCAATGTATTATTTTTTAAAAAAAAGGAGAGACTAGAATTATGTGTTTAGAAGCACTATTAAATGTTTTTGGGATTTTCCTATTCAATCTAAAATTTTTACTCCTTAAGCACATTGACTTTTAGTAAGGTGGAGAAATGCATATAGTAAATGTTATTTTAGTGCCTAATCAGGCTCTAGAATAGTTTGGTGTGTATTTTGTTTACATACCTTTTAGCATCTCCATTTCTCGTTGACAGCTTATAGCGTTAGGCAGGGAATCTGCTGCAGTGAATGAGTGATTGGTGTGAAATGCTCAGCAGAGGTGGATTTCTGCTAAAGCTAGTGAGCTCCTCTGAGCAGCCTTTCAGATCTGAGTATTTAAATTTCATAGAGATGCTTGCCAATATGAAATTAAGATGGCGCTGCGGACCCACTATACTTGGAATTGTTTTTCCAGTAGTGAATATTGATCTACCCCTCCTCTCACTAGGTTCGCCTTTGCTTATATTTGTAAGATATTTGGTTAGGATTAGGGACACAGGTTGTGGTTGTATATACTGGTCTGTATAGTGAAAAAAAATTAACCAGAAAATAGATAAAACTAAAAACTCATACTATTCTATCTTAATATACAGCATTTGTTATGTTGGATTACATTGTCTTCATCATTCAGCTCAGCCTGGGGAATAAAACCAAATACGTTGGCTTTCCAATTTACTATGACTATATTTAGTGTTTCAGCCCTGATGCAGAGGAAATATTTCTCAGAAATGTATTTGCCTGGAATTTTTATAACAAAGTTTACATACATATAAAAGCTCACTAAAAATATTTTTAATAAGTGAAATCTAAATGTTGGGCTCATATTTCTTGGTCATGTTCTTTATTTTAATAAAATAAGTAGCCAATCAAGACTAGTAAACGATATGAGCCAATGTCATGCCCTCCCTATCTTCCTGCTCCCTATTTCAACTTGAGTGACTGTGAAGGAGAGAAGCAATGATGCTTTTCTTCATCTCCTGAAGTGCTTTTTCAGTATCCTCACTGTATATTTCTCCTCTTTTATTATATCTTTATTATATTTATATATAATTTATTATATATTTAAATTTATTTTAAACTGTATATTTATATATTCATTATATATAAATATGTTTATTATATTTTATATTGTATATTTATTACATACAAATGTTTATTATATATTGTATATATTAGCTCAGGAACTATTGTTATTGCTTCCTCTATGCAGCATTTAACAAATATCAAATAATGAATCATTTGTAACTTCCCAGGTGTCCAATTAAAATGAATGCAATTCAGAAACTTTTGGCTTGCCATCTAAGGAAAAGAAAGATGCCACTAAGGTTTCAAAGCAGCGATCGGCCAACTGTGCCTCTTGGATCACGGATTTTAATAGACCCAACCAAAGTTTATGAACACAACATGTGGTAAGTGATTATTTAAGTTTGATGTTACTGGTGTTAAAAATTAATTGTAGTCTTCTTGTTTTCATGTGATGGGAGCCAATGCCAAGGGAATGACTCACCAAATAACATCATTTAGAGATTAAGGCCAAAAGTCTTCAATGAATGTGTGACCTTGGGCAAATCACTTCCTTTCTCTTTGCCTCAGTTTCATTGTCTGTAAAATGGGGATAATAATAGTACCTACCTCCTAGGGTTGCTGTAAGAATCAAATGAGGTAATAATTGTAAAGTGCCTAGTACAGTGCTTTGCACATAGTAAGCATTGCATATATGTTATTATGTATTATTATGCATTATTATTATGTATATGTTATTATTATGAATATAAAGGCAAGGTTAGTTCCTGTGGATTCTGCTCTTTATAGGTAAGATTCCCTTATGGGCAAGATTGGGAAAGTGGAATTTTTCAAGTATCCTTAACAGCTTTAGGGGTATGAGGATCCTAATATTCCTGTCTTGTTGGCGCTATACTTGCCTTCTCTCACTTACCTACCTAATGGACCATTAGCCTCCATCCCAGTTAGGTAGTCCCAGTGTTAACTCTCCTTATCCCTTCTTCCCTCTATCAGTGAATACTGACTGAATCCCTACTTTGTACAAAACATCATATTAGGCACTGTAAATGATACAAAAAAAATAAGATATTGTTTCTGCCCTTGGGAAACTTATGGTCTGATTCAGAACATATCGCATACATCTAAAATAGATGTCTAGCAATACAAAGCAGGAAATAACAAGTGCCGAAAGTAACAATAAATGCAGTGAATTCGAAGGATGAAATATATCTCTGGAAAGGACCGCAGAGGCCATGTTGTTCAACCCTGCCTCACTTTTCAGGTGAGAAAACTGAGACCCTAGAAAGTTAAGTGACTTCTCTAAAATCTCCCAGATAGTAGTAGAGGCTGGATTTGAATCCGTGTCCTCTTAATCCGAGGGCAGTGCTATTTCTACTGCATCTTTCCCCAGGGGAGGAAGAGAACTCCCATCTGTGGGAAGACTTGGATAGGTAGGGATAAGGGAAAAGGGTGTTCCAAGAAGGAAAAATAGGGTGAGCCAAAGCATGAAAATGAGAAAGCCTAAGATATGTCAGGCAAACTGTGTGTGAATCATTGTGTAGAGCATCTGTACAAGGAAACAGAAAGAGGTAAGTGATTTGGGTCAACTGGTCAACCTTGTTTGAATTTTATCTTGTAGGCATCCAGTAGTTATGGAAGGTTTGTGAACAGGGAAATGACATGGTGAAAACAGTATTTTAGGAAAATAAATCTGGTCCTGGTGTGCAGGATTGATGAGATCCTCAGTTTCATCTCTGTAAAATGGGGATAATCAGACCTCTACTACCCAGTTCTCAGAGTGATTTGAAACTCAAGAGAGATAATATATGTCGAGATCTTTGCAGATTTTAAAATGTGATAGAAAAAAAGTGTTGGTAGAGGGAGATTCCTCCTCTAGGGAGTTTCCTACCTATACCAGTGAAATTACAGGACCAGTCCCTATCCCTCTGTGAATAGCATATGAATCAGTTATTACAATCTGGAGTGAATTCAGGAAGGGCAGTCAGTTTTTGGAAGACATTTGGTTTAAAGTATGACAAGTTTGAATTGGCACAAGAACATTCTAAGTGTAGTGCACTGAGTATTGGGAGATTCATGATTGGGACTCAGGAGAGAGGTCAAGTTGGAAATCAGTGTTTGAATATAAATAAATAATTTTGCCTGGTACAGCTAATGTGGGCTCTACTTAAAACATCTAGGTATTTAAGGAATAGAGGCATCTAGAAGGTCAGTGGATAGAGTGTCTGACCTGTAGACAGGAAGACCTGATTCAAATCCGGCCCTAGACATTTACTGCTACGTGACTCTAGGCAAGTCACTTAACTTCTGTTTGCCTCAGTTTCCTCAGCTGTAAAATGGGGATAATATTAGTACCTATCTCCCAGGATTGTGCTGAAAATCAAATAAGATAATCATTGTAAAATGCTTAGCATAGTACCTGGCACATAGCAAGTGGTATATGTGTTAGCTGTTGTTTTTGTTGTTGTTATTGTTAATGTTATCATCATTTGCCCATCTTCTTCTACCTCAAGAGCAGGTTTGAAGTTAATCTGAAAACTGTTTTGTGCTCAATTTCTATGGTTATGTTCATGCAAACTAGACATGTTTGACTCCCAGTCAAGGATTTTATCTGCAGGTCTGGCTTTCTCTTTCATTTATCTTTTAGACATTAAGGTTGCTATTTCTTTGTTTGCTGATTTAGCTCTCCTCTCTCCTTTCCTAAATCATTTCCTTCATACTTCTAGTGAAACACAATCCAGTCAATATTTTTCCTCAATTCAATAACAGTGACTTGCTCTTTAAAATTTTTTTTCAAAAAGTTCATTTTTATCACAAGCTTAATCATTAACAAATGCATGTTTTAGTATACAAAGAAACAAAAAAGAGGATTGCATGTGAAACTGTAAACTTTTTTGTACAGTTTTAAATATATATATTAAATTAAACAAGGTTATTGCCCTGTCTGTACTTACCTAATTTTTTTGTTTTCTTGGATTTTTTTAATTAAAAAATTTTATATTGATAACTTGTTGTTACTTTACCTTCCTTTCCCATTTTATCCCTCCCCCTCCTACACCCAGTGAGCCATTTCTTATAATGAAGAACAAAAATAAAAGGGGGGGAAGGAAATGTCAGTGAAACTAGCCACAAATCAACCAAATCCAACATTATGTGCAATGAATAATTGCTTACATTACCGAGTACCTTGAAATCTATCCCATATTTTAAAAAAAAAGAAAGAAAACTATCCTTGTATTTATTTTCCAGTGTCCTAAGGTAGACTTTTTTTCCCTTCTGAGAACTAGATAGATACCTCTGTATTAGAAAACAAGCATTTAAGTCTACTATGAATGCTATCAAATGATCACTTAGTATCCTTATTGGATACCGACAGAAAAATATGGCCATTTTATAACAGTTTGGAGGCACAGCCCAAAGCTTTGTTCCACTTAAGGAACTTACGCAGTTACTTCTAATGATGATTCATCATTCCACAACTGCCTTTGTATTAAGAAAGTAAATTATGTGACAGCATTTTAGAGGGAGGCCAGCGGAGGCCTGCTTCACTGCTACAGTATAGTTTTCCTTTGTGTGTGTGCCAGTTTTAAAAATTAATCTACCGCTTGTGTTAGGAGGCCATTCTAGAATCTAAATAAAGATCAAATGTCAGGTTTTTTTCTTGGTCTAGAGTGGTGATTGAATTAAAATACCAGGTGTGAGAGAGAAGAAAAAGAAATTATATACCAACTAAAGAAGTCATATGCAAGAATTATATAGTAGAATATTTCTTATCTAAATTAACTCAGCTAAATATTTAGCATCTGGAACATATAAGGTACTGTGTTATATGCAGTGGCAGATAGAAAGATAAATAAGACAGGGTCATTGCCAGTAAGACATTGGAAAAGTGAGACATATACATGAAAAAAATAACTACTGTATAAGACAGTATATAAGAGCCCAGTCAGTGTAGAGTCTGAGAGAAGGCAGACATCAACATAGGTGGAAATTGCAGTAAGACTCACAGAGGAAGTGGGATTTAAGCCTGGTCTTGAAGAATGACAAAATTAGAAAATACAAGGTTTGTTCTTAGGGGACAGAGAGTGAATAAACCAGCTTGGCTGGAGCAGAGAGTTCATCTCATGGAATTGTATAGCTGAAGCTTGGAAAGGTAGATTATGAAGAACCTTGTATGTTCTCTGATTATAAAGGACCTTGAATATCAGCCTAACAGGATGCTTGGACTTTATCTGGTAGGCAGTGGAAATCTACGGACATTTTACAAGGCTAAGGGATGATTTTGTTAAAGCAGTGTTTTAGGAAAATTAATATGAAAAGATTTAGTACCATACCAATCAAACTGCCAAGAGGTTCTTTGTAGAACTAGAGAAATAATCACAAAACACATTAGGGGAAAAAAAAAGATCCAGAATCTCAGGGGAAACAATTTTTTTATAGATGTAGGAATGATGAAGAATCTAGAATTACCAGACCTCATGTAACAGCAATCATAAAGCTCTTTGGTACTGGTTAAAAAAATTGAAAAGTTGATCATTGGAACAGATGGGTAGACACGGTCAAGAAGTAGCCAAACACAGTAATCTCATGTTCCGTAAAGCCAGGAATACAAAACTACCAAGGCAAAGACTCTCCATTGATAAGAGCTGCTAAGGAAACTGGAAAATTGTTTGGTAGAAATTAGGTTTTGTCTGATACTGTATGCCAGAGATAAGGTCCAAAGGGATAAGCAATGTAAATTCTTATTTATTATAAAAGGTCATATTATTAAAAAATTAGAGGTACCATTAGAGGAAGGGGGTACCATTCAGATTAATGTTGGGGGATAGGGTTGACAATAAATATAAAATAGATGATTTTATTGTATAAAATTATGTTTTTGCATAAGCAAAATCAGTAAGGCTAGAATGAGAAAAGAAGCTATCAGTTGAGGAAAAAAAAGTCACATTTCATATCACTTATCTCTGATAAAGATCAGATAGCCAATATACATAGGGATTTTATTCAAATATAAAAGACCCAGAGCCATTTCCAATGTAAACACATAGTTTTCAAGAGAAGAAATGTAAGCTATGAAAAACTACATGAAAGACTGTTCCAAATCAATAATAATAAGGAGAAATGCAAATTGAAACAACAGCAAATTGCATTTGATAATGATAGAAGTGAAATTACATGCTTATTCTCTTTCTCTTTCTTTCTTTCTCTCTCTCTCTTTCTCTCTCTCTCTCTTTCTCTCTTTCTCTCTTTCTCTCTCTCTCTTTCTTTCTTTCTTTCTTTCTTTCTTTCTTTCTTTCTTTCTTTCTTTCCTTCTTTCTTTCTTTCCTTCTTTCTTTTTTTTGGCAAGGCAATTGGCATCAAGTGACTTGCCCAGGGTCAGACAGCTAGT